GTGCCAACGTGCCTGTGTCCTGCTTCCCCTCTTCCGGGGATTTTATCATGTGTTTATCCCGGGTGAATTACCTGCCCTTTTGGATCTTGAACTACCCCCTGACTACCCGCCTGGACCTGCCTGGACTTGGATGCCTAAGGCTGCTTTCCCCTGCACACCGGATCATGAACTGTAACCCCTCACTGCCTTCACAGTAAACCCTGTGTGTCTTCCCTGAACGCTGTCTGTGGTCCTGTTCCCGGATTCGCCGCCTCACATAGGGTCTCACCACCCTCCACAGGAGACCCACCCGGCTCCCGTAACAGTTGCCAGTTGTGAGTTGCAGGGTGATATGGCTGCTGGCATTTACAGTGTATATATACAGTAAGTTTAAGGATTATTATTTATTTTGGAGCATGTTTATCTGATGTTGCTTTCCTCTAAAATAGCTGCAGGACAGAAGATACAATAAATTGATAACTAAACTACATTATGTACATCGATGGGGACAGTAAATATTAAGGCAAAAACAACAGAGGACCATTTGTCCTATATTGCAAGTGACTGATTTACAGAATGTAGAATTTATATCAGATTACCGTGAACCTCCTGAGCTTCAGAGGACATGCATTAGCCTGACCACAGCAGGCAGCTCTATGTGAACTTGATCAGTGGTTACAAACAGGATGTAATGTTATCTTGACATGTTTAATGGTATAATATGTGACAAAATGTGGACCTCTCCACTCTAGGCCAGTATCTAATTTCCTTGCCAGACAGTGTATCCATGGATTTTTTACTCTTTTTCTCGAAAGTTGTAACCTACTGTATACTGTACCTTCACTGGAACAATGTAAGCTTTGCACCACAGAACTTTAAAAATGTATCCTAAGCAATATAGGTGATGCAGATGGATAGAGATTGGGAGCAATATTGTGTTTCAAGTAATTTAAAATATATTTTGATATTACAGTGATAATGTCAGATGATTATTTTATACCATAAGGCATTTAATTTGAGATACCTGCTCCAATTTCTCTTTTAATTTTTAGACAATGATACAACGATTTACCCAAGGAATCTGAAAAAAAAAATGTTAACACATTTCTATCCTCTATCAAAAAAACAACAGATGTTCAGTCTCAGCAAAATTTCTTTGGATATTTGAGATTTATTTTGTTTTCAGAAATTCTTTCAACAGTAGCAGGTTTGATGAATGCCATACGGTAGGAGAATTAACAGAATATAGGTTTACATGACAATACAGGAATACCAAAGGCTATGCACATGGATTTTACACATCTATGACAAAAAGAGACAACATTTCTTGCCTACAGTATACTGTTATGAAAAGTTATTTATTTGTCTCTGTACAGCTGTCATGTGCTCTCAGTCCATCTCAGATCATACGTTTCTGGGTTAGGCTGCAGCTCAGGAAAAGTGACTACATATTAATAATGAATATACAGTAAGTAATGGACTTTCAAGTCCATACTGTGTATGCATTAACAGGAGCATATCCATACATTCAAATTAACATTAGATTTTTTTAAAACACATGGTCACTAAACCAAAATAGCAGACTATGACTCTAAGACTCCAAGACTCAGAAAGGATTCTGCTGGTACACTGCACAAGACAGATGAGCGAATGAAAAATGGACAAAATCTAACCTAAATTTAAATTTAAATCTAAATTTTTTCCCTAAGTAAAACTAATACACTGTATGCTCCCGGGCTTTTGTTACGTCTAAAATCTTTTTATCTACGTCTTAATGTTGACACTGTACAGTTAACGTTTCACTATATAACCACAAATGATTGGAAGACAATTTTTGACAATTATGAGTTTTTATATTTCTTTAATTTCTTACTACTTTAAGAAAACCTTTGTATTTATCTGCTTTTCACTGCTGCTTTAAAAAGCTTATTTATTCAAATAAACAGACTTGTGAATATTCATTATATGCACATTAGCTGTCCAAAATCATCTTTGTGCATTTTTACATACATAAGGAGCCAGTTCCCTAGATATTAAACACAGTGCACATGATGCAAATTGTAAGCAATCCAATTACAACCATAATACCTAAATCCTTAATAACATTCTCCTTTGCAGTTTTTTTGTTCTTGAGGATTATATTATCCATACTATTATTATTCATAATATTATACTATTTTCTTATTGATAGAATTTTTCTTGGCTTTTAAGTAGTGGACTTGAAATAGTCCTCTCAAAATGCTAAAAAATACATTCTAGCAGAGAATCTAACCTTATCATTCAGTGTCCATCAAACTAGAATCCTGTATTGATGCAGATGCAAAACATTCCTGTAAATCTTTGAATTCTGAAGGGTACTCTATTACTGCAATGATATAGCAGCTCTTTGCACATAGGATAAGCTCTTGTCGTAAACGTTTCTCTCACAGCATTAATGTGAAAAAGTAAATAAAAGTTTGTACATGGTCACTGCTTTATCTATTTTTCTTTGAAAACAGAGAAAAAGCACAAAAGTGTAGTTATTTACAAATTGTCATTTTAACTGCAATGTGAATGTGCGAGCTTCACTTACACTATAAGCCCAGTATGTATACTGTATATGGCAATAATTACTCTGCTTTATATTTCACAGTATATTTGCTATAAACAGATCAACATGATTTACACATTCCCGAATTTGGATTAGGCAATACAGACAGCAAACAGCAACTAGTAACTAGCAACCGGGAGAAGGGAATCATATTGGAATTTCATTATGAAATTTTAAAAAATAATAATTTCTCTGGCACATTTCGCAAAACATTCATTTTTTTCCACAACAAATATTAATACTTATTATTGACAGAAAGGCAAAAAAGATGATTCTATTGTAAATAAAAATACATTGATTAGCTATAAGTGACAGTGGACATATGCCTTAGTGTCCTTTCCCCACTATCTAGCCTGCCT